CCTACATTTCCTTTTTATGGTTTCCTCACAAAACTTCCACCTGGCTGAACTCACCTATCTCCTTTCTCATTGCCTGAAGTAGAACTCCAGAGAATTTTGAGACAAAGTCACTCAGCAAGGTCTATTGGTAGGCCCTGTAAATTTAATATTACTCACCTCAAATGGGCTCCCAATGCTTCATTAGCCATGATCATCTGTCTGCCCATCTTACTTCTCCATTCCTCACAGCAATGAAATGAAACTTTCTTCATTCTGTTCAAGTACTCCTCCCACTTTCATCAGATCTCACATCCTAACAGACAAAATGGATGATTTTAAAACTAGGATGTACTTATCTTTAAGCTACCAAGCATACAAATCATCTCTGTCTACATTAATTTCACCTTCCTTCCCCTCAGTGACAACAGGAATGCTTTATGTTCTCCTATCTTTGGGTTATATTTCTATCTGTGCTTTGGGTTCCATCTTCTTGCCCCTGTCAGCAATTTTACATCATTGATTTTTCTTTCTGTCTTCTGTACAGCCAACTTCTCTATCTCACTAAATCCTTCGAATTGGTTTTTCAACATATACCAGTCTCTCTCTTTAAAATGAAACTAAACAAAACATGTTTCTCAAATTACTGGTCTATTTCTCCCCTCCACTTTAACAGTAAACTATTCCAGATGTTATCTACATTCACTATCTTCCAATCAATTATTCACCCACTTAAATCGCCCTTCCAACATTTTTACTTCCACTGAAACAGTTTTGTTCGATCATTTATATCGATGTTGCTAAATTCAAAGGATATAGTTAAGTCCTTATCTATTTATAAGCTTAGTAAGAGTTCAATATTGTTAAAGATATTTTTCACTCCTGATTTTCTTCCTTCTTCTTGTCTGCTTTAACTCCTCTGCCATAATACTAAATGTCAGCATTTTTCAAGGCATGGTTCTGAAAAAATGTTCCTCTTTACACTTGAAGCAAGTTCACCACATCCACTATTTGAATTACCGCTTAGAGGCAGATGACTCACGAAGTACTTGTTCAGTTAGGACTTCTCCTCTGGCTCCAGGGCTACACATTCAACTGCCTTTTGGACATCTTGTGTCCAACTCATAATCTATCTTTTCTCCTAAATTAGCCTCTTTCTAGTGCTCTGATGTTATTAAATGGTGCCACAATCCATTTAGTTGTGTATTCCAGAAAGAAAAATGAACTTTTCTCTCTCTCAAAGCTCAGATTTAATCCATTACCCAGTCTTGTCAGTTCGACATCCTAAATAGCTTTCAACTTAGTTCACGTCTCTGTCTCCATTATCACCCTTAGTCCAAGATGGTCATCACTTGCCTGGAGTACTGCCATAGGCTCCTAACTGATCTTTTCATGTATATTTTAACCATCCTTCAGTCTGGCCTACTCTAGACCAGTGGCTCTCAATCAAGGGTGACTTTGCTTCCTATAGGAGATTTTGCAATATATGAACACACTTTTGATTGTCATGACTCAGGGGAGTGCTACTGGAGTCTAGTGGGTAGAAATGTGGAATGCTGCTAAACATCCTACAATGCACAGCCTGTGCCCCCTACAACAAAGAATTATCTAGTTCAAAATGTCAATGATGTCAAGGTTGAGAAAACCCACTCTGGAGATAGACTGAGCTTTACACACTGCAGACATGTTTCTGTCATGTGCACACATACACACTTGCTTAAAATTCTTCAGTAACATGCCATCTGGCTAAGGCCATAATAGTTAACATGGCCTTCTAGGTCCTTTGTAATCCAGCTTATATCTACCTCTGCAAGTCATCCAACACCATATTCTCTCTCAGTCTCCCTGGTCTAGACAGGTTTCAATCCACTGTGCTTACTCCACACCCAGAGCATTTGCACATGTGTGTTCTTTCCACCTGGAAACTCCTTCACTTAGTTAAGCCCTATTTATCCTTCAAATATCAACTGAAGTTTTTTCCCCAGGGGATCTTTGCATGATCTCCCTCTCAAGGGTAATTGCTCCATTTTAGACATTTAGAATTTATGTATCTCTTTTCCTGATCTGTACATAGTTGCATATTTACGTTGATTTATGTATTTTATTACTCTTTGTCTCCCTCATTAGACTGGAAGCTACAAAAGATGAATAACATTTCTTTATTTTGTTTTCTTTTATTTCAAATAAAATTGCACTACAAAGGGTTGGTTGTTGACTGTTAGATGTTTGATTACTAAATATCCTCACATAACATGTGAGAAAACTTAGTCCCAATATATCAAGTGACCTGAGCAAGGCCCCGCCCCTAATAAGTAGTGAAGGGAGAGCATGAATCCAAGTTTCTCATCATTAAGTACTGCATTTTTTTCCCTCTGAACTGGTGTTTTGTGCATTTGTTTAAACCTGTAGGTTTTGACTCAAAGTAAATCTTTTGTAGATACACAGTGCATAAAATAGATTAAAAGAGATTAAAGCAGATCACTGCTTTGATTAGAGATAGTGCATTTCACCCTCATCTTAGGAGTTCTTTTACATCTCTACCCAAGCCCCTCTTACCACTTGCCAGGGTGCTGAGGAACTTGCTGCAGAATGACTTGGATCTGGTGATGGAGGCTTGGAAACAGATCTACTACATTCATATGTAGACTGCTTGTGGGGTCTCTTCCTGCTTCAGTATATGATGCACTCTTGATATTTGTGAATTCAAAGTTGAAAATACCAGTATAGCATAAATTTATGTCATCATGGCTGAAATATTTGCTTAAACAATTTCACAAATCCCATTTCCATGTTTCTATATGAAAGAGAGAGATGATCCTTTCACATCATCAACTGAGTCCACGGACCATGTTCAACATCCCACCTTTGTCAAAACAAAAATTTTCTGAACAAGAATCACTACTTTGTAGACATCTTCATTTTCTCTTTATTTATCTTATTTTATTTTTGCCAATGATAGGAGTTGGATTAAATTGCTGAAACAAAAACAAACATACTGTACCAATTTCATAGCAGGCACTTTACATGACAGTGGGAGAGGACACCAGAATGAACGGCGGCGAGGATGCTATGCTCATGCACTTGCTAAGGAGCTCAGGCCCACGTGCCATGGCATGTGTGGCATTGTGTTTCAACAACATAAAACACCATTACTGTTATAAACATTTGGGCTTTTGATTTTTGATAGTTGGAAGCACAAATGTCAAACCAATGCCCTGAAAAAATGGAAACTTCTTTTCCTCTGTTTTTCTCCTATAAATATTTTTAGTTCCAGTTAAATGTCACAATAATGAAGATAGTATATATCATATACTTGGGAGGTATTTAAAGATGAGGTGATTAAAAACATACCAATATTTTCTAATTATATATATATAGTATTATACATATCTATAGTATGTGTATATATAAATATACACATATATAAGTGGATGTGAAAATTAGAAAACACAAACATACTGAGATTATTTTTCCAAGATCTTTGACTTTTACAAATATATCATAGACATAGAAAATGTACCTACTCTAAGAAATGTCTTAGAGTTTTTAGTTATCTCTCAAACTTGACTCACGAATGCCAGTGCATTTAAAATGCAACAAAAGTGAAAAGCAATTCATCACATCATTTGAATGGCTGTTGTTTAGAAAATACAGCCTTATGTACAAAAATCTAAAACTTATGAATAGCTATTGAAAATATTTCCAACATATCACTTGATATTTTTTTTCAAAAATTACACTTTTGCGGGGCCGGCCCAGCAGTGCAGCATTTAAGTTCGCATGTTCTGCTTCTCAGTGGCCCTGGGTTTGCCCATTCGGATCCCAGGTTTGGACATGGCACCACTTGGCAAAAACCATGCTGTGGTAGGCATCCCACGTATAAAGTAGAGGAAGATGAGCATGGATGTTAGCTCAGGGCCAGTCTTCCTCAGCAAAAAGAGGAGATTGGCAGTAGTTAGCTCAAGGCTAAACTTCCTCAAAAAAAAAAAAAAAATACACTTGCCTGTCAAGCTGTTTTGGCTCATTTACTTACTTTTTATACTTTTTTATTCAAAATAATTAGGCTGATTGACTTGGTTTGTTTTATTAGATTATATTACTCAACCTATAAAATAAGGAACACCAGGGGCCAGCCCCATGGCCGAGTGGTTAAGTTTGTGCACTCTACTTCAGTGGCCAAGGGTTTGCTGATTCAGATCCTGGGTGTGGAACTACCCATGGCTCATCAAGCCATGCTGTGGTGGCATCTCACATAGAAGAACTAGAACGACTTACAACTAGGACATACAACTATGTACTGGGGCTTTGGGGAGAAAACAAAAAGGAAGATTGGCAACAGATGTTAGCTCAGGGGCAATCTTCCTCACCAAAAAGCATAAATACATAAATAAATTAAATTAAATAAGGAACACTAGACTCCCTAGGTTTTAAATACCCTTTATACTTTTTTCCTTTGGGAAACTTTCATCTCTCCAATTTTGAATTAGTAACTCAAAGAAGTAATTTCACAATCTTTATGAATTGCCAAACTGTACTTACTGCATGGTGGCTGAATGGGTTCATAATTTGAAAGCTCTATAATTACTAAGATTATCATTATAGGGTGAGCATGACATTAAGAAAAAACTCATTTTCTTCTGTCTTAAGCATATAATGTTGATATATTGCTATTTTTTGAAATCCCTCATGGACATTTCTCAGGCATTAGGAAATTGCATCTATTAACATATATTATGTTGTGTTGTGACCCTTATTTCCACTTTCTCTCTTTCATGAGGGCAAAAAAATCCACATGAAAGAAAAACTAATTCAGAGGTGGAACTAGTGGCAGAAAAGTAAACTAAGTGTCAGATATGTGTTTGCAGTTCTTGGCTAAATTATCAAAATTTTACCCGAAGCATATTGGAAAACATCACTCGTAGAAACCCCCTCCTTTTTTCACTCCTGACTCTAAACCCCCTGAAAACCACATCTGTTTCCCACTGATAGCTTTTAACACTCGTCCCTTTAATGTCTTCTAACAGGAAGTGGAAATTGAGAGAAGTTTGTGTTCACCAACATTTAAAAGTCACCCTGGGAGCCAGTCCGAAGATTCTGTGAAAGATTCAGACAAGAAAGGCGAGGAAACATCTTTTGACAAGATGTCACCTGGAAGTGGTCACAGCCACATCTTTGAAGGTTAGCATAATATTTTGATGTGATCTTGTGATCATACATTGTACAACATAAGTGGTTAATAAATAAGGTTTTATTTTAAAATTAGTAAGGAAAAAGATGACAGAATATAGCTCAAGAAACACAATTCAGGAAAAACAGAGGTATATTTAAATCCTATCTCTATTATATTTAATTTTTAAAACTAAACAAAATAGACTTTAAGTAATTGTAAACCAGTACAGCAAGCACTTTCAGCCTTAGGGTTTTGGAACAATGCATTTGACCATTATCTAACTTTGCCTTTTGTGAAAAGAAAGGAAACATATTTTCCTCTCAGTCTTTGGGATAATAAAAGGATAAAATACAAGTAACTATCAGTGGCAAAATAAAAAAAAAAAATTGAAAATGCCTTCAGCATCTCTTTTCAGACAATTAAACTAAATGTGCTTAATGAATTTGGAATAAAAAGTGACATGAGAGTATCATAATTTAGGGGAAAACCTCATAAATTTGATTAATGTTTTACAAATGTCATTAAAACGTTAATAGCTCATATGTTAGAAATTACACTATTAATATAATTTTCAACTATGACAAGTGCAAAATATAAAGAATTTATTGGAAAATATGGATATCATTTATCATTTTGGTTAGTTACCTTCTGGATTTTTCTTTTTTAGCCAAGCGTTCGTAATGTTTGTTAAAGATTATAATTAGTACAACTCGTAGGACATTATTTGATATATATATTCAACTGTCAGGTTACCAATCCCCATGAGCAATGCAGAATAGTCTATGGAATATGACAGACAGTTGACAATTTGGGAAAACAAATGATGCACTGCTTTAAAACTTTGCTATTCAAAGTGTTGTCTGTGAATCAGAGCATCAGCATCACCTGGAAGCGTATTAGAAATGCAGAACGTTGGGCCCCACACCAGTCCTACCCAATCAAAACCTGCATTTTCACAAGATCCTCAGATGACCCATGTGCACATTAAAGTTTAAGAAGCTATGCTCTATGACAGTACAGACTGAACCTCTGGATCATTTACTTATGATTTAGCTCATTCTGATTCCAATTGGTTTAAGTGTGTAATTTACGATAGGAGGTGGGTGTGGGGAGAATAAAGGGGAGTTTGATAATGAGGACCTGGGCATGAATTTCTAAATACATGTAAATTGGAATCTCAGTCTCTATTTTTCATTTTCAATTCATTTTTATATGCCCAATTGATATCCTAATATGATTAGTATCAGTCTTAGGAATTTACTTCACATATTTCTGGCCTGTGATTAAACTTTATGTGCACTTGGCTGAATGAAAAAGAATTACATTCGCAGAGGCCACAAAAGGGAATCTTTAGAGAATGATTTATGTTCTGATGACGCTGGCCTAGAGATCTTCGCATAGGGAGACAAATGTGAGGTTGGCCAACGATCTGATCAAAATCACATGAGATAAACAACTCCACTCAACTCACCTTACTTATCTCCTGTGTTTTCTTTGGTTTCCATGCAAAGATTTTCAAACGCCTTTTTATTATCCAAGCTTAGAAAAGGTATTCTGGAAGGTAACCAACATTCAGTATCAAGATCTGACTTGAGAGTGAACTCAGATTTAAATTTCCAGGTATATTGAAAATATCAAGAGCTACACTAAAAAAACTCAGGGTGGGAAAATTACACTAAAGATGAACATAGCAGCTAACTTTATTTTTATTTTATCTGTACATTGCACAAGAACTCTAATTCTTAGGTATCACTACATTTGAAAGAAAGAAGCTTCTTTTAGTGTGGGATTCTTTGATTCTTCCATAGTGCCCTAAATTTCTATCTGTGATGGGACATTTATAAGCTTTTTTAATAAGTACAGTTTTTAAAAGCTTATAAGCTTGTATATAAGCTTGACAAAACCTACACAACCACAGTATATTGATGTTGCTGTTCTGCTGCAAAAGATAGAATTTATTCCAAGAAGATAAAATGTGTGTCTGAATAAAATGTGATAAGAGAAAGATGTCAGAGTTTGTATATGAGTGACTGTGATGGCTTCACATACTGGTTAAACACTTTAAGTAGCCTCAAGAGTGTCATACTTGAAGGCAATATTTATTTATAGCTCTTTCATAAACAGTAGAATTTTTAAAATAAACTTACAATAGATCATTAAAATGCAGCTGCCTAAAGTCCTGCATTTTTAGAATCTAGCAAAACCAATGTAAATTGGTAATTCCATCTCAGGACTCAGGAAGAGTCACGGCTGTTGGATCAGCTCCCGCTCCTTATTCTCAACTGCACATCTAGGGTAGCAACACAGAAAGGCACTGGAATCCACCCCAACTCCTTTCTAGGCCTGATGATCTACACCCAGGTTGTGTTTAATTGCTCTCACCACTCATTAGGTTTGCTCTGCTTTCTTCACCAATGTATTGATGTCAAATAAATCATAGCGCTGCATGTGCATGTCGGTGCATTCCATTCATATTTTCTTTGGGACGTACTCTAATGGTTAGTTGTTCCAATGATTCTAGGAAGACATGGCTCATTTGAAATTAAATGTCAAGCGTGACAAATCCATAATATGACAAATTTGGGTGATGTAATAGATATGAAAGAAAAAAATCCATATAAATGGTTTTGACTAACTGTATCATAGTGATATATAAATTTCATTTGTGGAATTTCCTTTAGATATTTTAAAACCAGGAAGTTGGAAAGTGAATACTGGGAGTATTATTGATTTACATGATTCAATCTACTTAGGCTTGATCTACCTGAATGTACAGTAAAAAAATCTATTTTTTCTGCTGAAAAATTCTGAATCAAGGGTTATTGGGTAATGTTCTTTGAGTTTAAATTACTTGGGATTTTTTCCTATGACAATTACCTGCTTTTCACTTTTATTCTCTAAACCGTAATTTTAATATTAATCTTCTAAGTCATAGCATGTAAAGTGCTGACAGATAAAATATACATTCATAGTCACTCTTTCAAGGCTTTTGCAATAAACCTTAGAAATTCCTTGCTTTATTTCTCTTTTTATTCTGCTCCCTTAAAGCCAAATTCATTCTTTATTCTTTTAATGGTCATTCATCTTCTGCAATGATTTTACAAAACAAACTGAGTGTCTGTTCTTTTTAACTTTCTACCACTCTCTAAGTGGTGGGATCCTTTGAGTTATGAAGTTTTCTAAAATATTGATGTATGTGCAGTACATGTATTTATGTGTGAGTAATCATTTATATATCTTGTTTTTCATTTAAAATCAGACGTTTTAGAGCAATGCTTTTTGATATACAAGTGTTCCACATGTGTGCTGTCCAATGTGGTACCCACTAGCCGCTAACCACCAGTGGCTATTAAGCACTTGAAAATTAACTAGTGCAACTGAGCAACTTAATTGCTAATTTTATTGAATTTTAATTAATTTAAATGTAAATAATCACTGTTTTGGACAGCACAGTTTTAGCAGATGCCACTTCCGCCAGGAACTCATTGTCCGCTCAGCTTACAGGAAGGAATCCAGATGCTAGTTATTCATTTTAAGTTGTCCTTTCTCTGCAAATTTACCTTTATTGAAATGTATGTGGAAGGGTCAGCCCCATGGCCAAGTGTTTAGGTTTGTGTGCTCCGCTTCGGCAGCCAGGGTTTTGCCAGTTCGGATCCTGGGCTCAGACATCAAGCCATGTTGAGGCGGCATCCCACATGCCACAATTAGAAGGACCCACAACTAAAAATACACAACTATGTACTTGGGAGTTTGGGGAGAAAAAAGCAAACAAAGAGAGAAATGTATGTGGATAAGTGTAAAGAGAATTCATGTCAGCAAAATTAATAAATAACTAGAATAATCCATGTATTAAAAAGATTGCTTTCAAGAGCTAGTGACACTCTTCTCTGTAGTATTTCCTAGCGATAAAATTAAGAAAAAATAGTTTCACCTGTGCTCTCTTTTCAATGCATTAAAAAACAATGGTTTTATCATAGGAACAGAGATATCTACTGTGAGGCTGTGCATTTTTCCGTAGCGTCTTTTCTAGAGCTTAACTGTCTTGGGAATATAAATCTCCTCAGGTCAGGAAGCAAACCATTCTCTCAATACCTAAGGTCAACAAAGTTAAATGAAATGTAATAACAGGATACTTCAAAATTAATAGAACCATTCCTTTAATAAAAAAAGGACTTTGTTTGGAAATTTATAAATCAATCAGACATTTAGTCACAGAGTAGCTCCAGTGAAGGCCATCAGCACCATTTGTTCTGCTCTGACTGATTCGTTCAGTCTAATGAGATGGGGAGGACAGGCTTTTAGACCTAGTCTCTGGACACGCCAAGGGGGCCCAAGACTTCCAACACCTACTTCTGCTTCCACACTTGCTTCCTTCCTCGTACCTCCTTTATGCCCAAGACAATCTCTCATATATCAGCCTTGTTATTTTAATTCACATAGGGGACATTTTATTAGCAAAAATATTGTCAACGAATCATCATTTCAAATAATCCTAAGGGAACGCCCTTTACGAAGTGAAGAATCCTTTTGTCGTGTCAAAAGGATTTGATGTATTTGATCTGTTTACTCAGTTTTGAGGTATTCTCTTCCTCTCTTTATTAAAGTGAGTTTCACCTGCAGTTTTTCAATGACTCTCACATGTTGCTTTTATAGTCAGTGAGTCAAAACAAATTCCAGAGTTAAATCATGGGCTCTCCTGGAAGGGGCAGCTGGGAGTTTGCTATTCTGGGGAAATTGTAATGAAAGGTCTGTTCATGAGGTCTTTCACATGGCAGCTCTAAATCAGCACCTTGGAATGCTGGAAAATTTCCATTGATTAATAATCAAAATCCCAGGAACTCATTTTGAGCTTGTGCATGGTCATACTTAATTTTAAAACATGATGCCATCAAAGAAAGAGAACAACAAATATAAATATCCCTCTTGAAACCCTTTCATTCATTCATTTTACCTCCTTGCAATTGAGAACTAAATATTATTTTTAAATATCCTGATAGCAGAATCAGAAATGTA